TGGAACTCCGCCTATGTCTTCTAGGCATAGCCGGTCCCAAGCCCGGGTAAAGGAGGAGGGTTGTGATAGGCTTGGCGAGCCAACGTAAAAACTAGCCAGTCCCATAGGTATGAAACCCATTTGAGCGAGAATAGTACTAGGATGGGTGACCTCCTAGGAAGTCCTCGTGAAAGGGTTTCATATCTAAGGGTTGTGATAGGCTTGGCGAGCCAACGTAAAAACTAGCCAGTCTTTTGGGTATGAAACCCATTTGGGCGAGAGTAGTACTAGGATGGGTGACCTCCTGGGAAGTCCTCGTGAAAGGGTTTCATATCTAGCCTACCCCAACTTGTTTGGGATAAAAGGCTTCGTAAGTAAGTATGGTAGAGAATCTGGATTTTCTTTTCATGTGTGGGTTCCTTTTTTTCTTTAATGCTTTATGTCTACCACAATTTGTTTTCATGTCTGTAAGATGAAAAAGGGACGGTAGGGAGATTATATGATCGATGTGGCATTCTGATACATCATTGTTAGTACTCAGCTTTGATATATGCATTGAGATATAGATTTATTGCTTATATAAAAGCATTGCATTTTGTATGAATAGCATTTTGTGGTACCTAATCATTGATGTGCATATGAAAGTCTAGGCGAAACAAAGGAGATGTTCTTGATCTTGTTTGGGATTTGGACTCGAGTCTTCCTTTCCCTTGTCCATTCCTCCAGTACGTTGTTGATGCCATTCAACCACTAGCATTTGGCGACTCCATCTATGGAAGGTAAGGTACTGTTGCTCTAAGTGTAACATTGGTGAGATAAAATTGCGATGGTGTCCATGCAAGATTACTCTTAAACAATGTGCCAATCTCCTCATATAGGCGAAACCTGATGCATATTAGTTCGAAATTACTCTTTTTTTTTTTTGGTGCAATTTTTTTATTGACTGATGGAGGACATGATAGCCTGTGTTAGTTACACTGACAGAAGATAGTGTGGCTACTTATGTTCTCATCCTTGGTTAGACCCATTCGGCTCCGCTATCTCCGTGTAAATCTCAATAGGGGTACATGTCTGTGTTGAAATATAGGAGGGCATGAATGATAGTTTGTTTTGGGGGTTGAAAATCAGTACTAACTATCTACCATCTACTGTTTACAGACTTTTCCGTGTAGTTCATGGTCCAGTATTTCTTCGATCATTTGCATCAGACAGAAGTCACATGAAGGACCCCGTGGGGAATTGGATTGAGTTACCCCCAAAATATGAACCAATTGTCGCGGAAGGTATCAGATTTTATGCCTGAACCATCTTCTTGTGAAAACTCATTGCACCATTATATTCTCCTGGTCATCAAGTAGTTCTCGGAACAATCAGTCGTGCATAGGAAATTTACATGTCTAGACACACAATGGGAAGCGGTAACAAAGTTATTGGAAATTGAAAATTATCTCTGGCACTCTTTTGAATTTATATGGTTATATGATTTGTTTACAGTCCATACTTTGGAACACGTTACTCATTCGTACTTCCAATCTGTTTCAGATGGAAGCACCAATAACCTGAATGAGTACATAGCCATGTCTACTAATGATGTCGGAGACCTGGAAAGCGTGGTTAATGATGTCTACCACAACGAACATG